GCTGAAAATGTTTTCATTTTATTTTATTTTAATGTTTAGGGTGATGAAGTAATGTAATTCATTAAGAATAACTATCCTAAAATCCCAGGTTGAAAGCATTTTATTAAAAATATATTTTATTTTGAATAATTTCTACTTTAATTTGGAAAAAAAAAACATGACATCATCTTTCAATCAAGTGCTTCTTTCCTGAAGTATCTGACTGCAGTAGCTTGATTTTCAGGATCAGCTGTGTCAACAATGAGAACTCTAGACCTAACGTTCAGTTTGTTTCTTTAGAAGAAGCTCTTATAATGAGCTGCTGGTGGGAAGTTTTGTTTTTACACCATGTGGACATTTGACTTATCAGGAAGAGGAATGTGTGAGAGAAGTGGTGGTGGTTTTTGTGGTGAGTCTAGAAGTAGAATACAAAACTGGCAAGTTTTTAACCTTTCAACTGTGCTAAGAAACTAATTACAGAACCTTAAAACACATTAGTCTTGTTTTTTTATAGATGACATATACTGTATTCTATTGGCAATTGTATTGGTACAAATTCTTTAAGAACTTATAAAAATGTGATAGTCCAGACTTTATAAAGTTCATAAAACAAAATTATGTTGAACGGTTTGCCTAATCATGTTTAGATGGAAAGTTTTTTGTGCAATAGACAGATTAAAAAGTTTACTAATGCCACCAAACCCAGAAACCAGTTGTGTTTATTTTATTGAACAATGAACAAAGCAAACACCAGACCTCATGTTGCTGAGATCTGTTGAAAATATGTCCTGATTCTCGGGGATAATCTGTGGTTATTTCCACATCCAAACTAAACCAACAGTATGTCAATAACATAATGCTGTGTAAAAATTAATATATATATAAATATCTTGTAGTTTATCCTTAATTAAATCTGCTGCCTTTTATGCCAGATTTTTAATCTAAGATTACCTAATGTGAACAAACGATGGAGATGTAGCTAAATCTCATGTGATACTGCAAAATCCCATGCTCTGTGGACGACTCAGCTATATGTCAAATTTTAGCTCAATAGTTGTAAAATGGACTGAGTTATAGTTATTTCTGTCTTGGCTAATGTTGACTAGCTTTGGCAGCCATCTTGAACTGGACTTACTGAAGGTTTTCTTGTTGTGGTTTTATATCTATACATCCAATGATTGCTTTTTGAGTTTCATTAAAATCCGTTCAGAACAGACACAATTATCGCTCACATTTTGCTTTTCAGAAATAATAATAA